CACCGCAGTCAAATGACTAAACTTATTGAAAGGGCTGAAGATATCGTCGCATTCGACACTCCAGTACAACTAAGCACGATTGACAAGTTGAAAGCGACAATTGGGAGTATGACTTCAAAATTAGAAAATCTCAAACTATTGGACGAAGAAATACTAAACGAAACCGAAGACGATGATTTCGACAAGGAACTTGAGGAATCAGATGACTATGCTATTAAGATGAATGAATACGTGGTAAAATTCAAAGGATTTCTACAACGGATGACGACTCGTTCAACAAGTTCCAGAGATAATACCTCTACAACTGAGAACGGTCTTTCGCCAGACTCTACACAGCAAACAACAAGGAAAGTCAACCTCCCAAAGCTTACGTTAACCCCGTTCAGTGGTGACATTCTGACCTGGACGAGTTTTAAAGACGGAGTTGACGCTGCCGTCCACAACGATTCAAGTCTGGATGATGTCCAGAAATTTCAGTATTTGAGGGCACATCTGTGTGGCGAAGCAGCACGAACTATCAACGGACTACCACTCACCAACACCAATTACATACATGCGCTCGACTTACTCACCAAGAGATATGGTCAGCCACAGAAAATAATTAGCGCGTATATGAAGGCTTTATGGAAACTTGAGCTACCCTCCGGAACATTGAATAATCTTGTAACTTTCCACGACAAAGTAGAAAGTTACATTCGTGGATTAAATGCCCTCGGGGAAATCAGATGACACCTTCAGTGACCTACTAGTCCCACCACTGCCGCATTCGTGACAACAACTCGAGAAAAACCTCCGAGGCCAGCTCACTGTGCATTTTGTAAAAAGAGCGGACACAAGGCAATAGACTGCAGGGTAGTTTCCAATAAGGCAAAACGTTCCGAAATCATCAAGAGAGACAAATTATGCTACAATTGCCTCAGCACACATCAAGTTTCAGATTGTAAATCAAAATTCAGATGCCAAACTTGCAAACGCAAACATCACACTGCGATATGCCAAGGGGAAATTCGCAGACAACCAGCCACATCGGAAGATAATGTACATACCTGTGTTTCATCTGCTCCTAGCCGAAATTCTCA